TTGGTTCTGCTGCTTGCGCATGATAGGGGTTAACTCGAGTGTGGCAGCCTCTACAGACGCTTACCAGACCGTCTATAAACATTTCTGGCTGGGGACTCGGCTCTGATCTGGCTGTGATCGTCGTCCTGCTGCAACGTAAAATAATTCCTGATGTCACTTGGGGGCGGACGTTAAATTGCCTCTTGATCAGCCAGATCATCCAAGTGGAAGGCTCGTCGGCGTACGAGGGTAAATAAGAGTGTTGTGGCTGCCTTGCTCGACGATAACCCGGGGCACAGGGGTGGGACCGGATTGCACACCTTCAGACACGCTTGCCTTCAGATGCTTAGGGACGTGACACCGAGACATTGAGAAGAACAAAGGGAGGGGTAGGTTCCAGGTGATAAGTTCGAGTTTAATTCCATGCTATGAACAGACCCAGTCAGTCAACACTAGTTTTATTTTTGATTAGTTAGATGGACAGCCATTTGACATCTGACAGACAGCATTAGTTTAGAGTATTGTTTATTCCTGATGCTTCCTCTGTTTGAGATCTAATCTTACTAAAACTAGTATTGGCAGTAGGAACCTCATTTACCTGTTGACTCCAATTGAGATCTGTTCTAAAAATAGCCACCACTGTTTAGTTGGTCTGTGCACTATGCTATGGTAGACATATGGAATGATCTAGTGTGGAGAGTGCACAGTGTTGTAGCCTATGAGCGACGTAGAGGACACCGGAAAGGACAACCGCAGGATCTTGCGATCAGCTAGAGGCCCGACAGCTCACGTGTCCCTTGGACCGGGAGGTGATAGGGAACTGTTCCGCCGGCAGAGGGACAGGCAGCAGCAGAGGAGAGCTAGAGCAGCCGAGACCAGCGGGGCACTTGCTAGCGAGGCTAGTGCTATAGCAGCCATGGCTACCACAGCCATGAGCACGTCTGCGCAGCAAACTTCTTCAGCCGGTAGTTCAGGTGCCACTGGGTCAACGGTCGTGCAGATTGTGAGTCAGTCCACTGGCTTAATGGTAAGCCAGCCCGCGGTGTTGTCCCCAGAGGATGTCGCCATCCAGCAGGCATCCCTGCAAGAGGCACAGCTACAGCAGGCATTAGGAAAGATAAAAAGAGAGAAAGATATGATGATTAGAAGAAGAGCCAGGATGCAACAGAGAGGGACAGACATAGAGGAGTTAGAGAWGATGGATCTGACGCATATGGATGAGGATGTGAAGGTAGTTAGGAGGGCCCTGCTAGGCGTAATAGAAATGCAGGAGCATCAAACTACCATCCTTCAGGACATTCAGCAAAGCCTAGCCGTGTTGGCGGGCCGCGCTCAGGCAGCACCATCACCAGCAGGGCTTGGTGCCTGGCCCGTGCCATATCCTTCTCTTTCTGTTCCACCGGTGACTGGGGTATCCCCATATGTAGCCCCTTCAACGGTAGCCATTGTTTCCCTGGGAATGCCTCTGTCAAGAGGAGTAACAGCAGGTAGTAGTTTGCAGGTTCCTGTACAGTYAGTGTTCACTCAAAGTCCGTCTCAGGTTGCTGTCACCATGCAGCCTGTTGTCTCGCAATCTGTGCTGCCACAGGGCACACAGCTCCAGCAGCCAGCACAGCAACCTGTGTCACCGGGTCCACAGGCCGGAGTGGTGCAGGTGCCGGGACAAAGTCAGTGGGTTCCAAAGACGGCCATCGCCGCKYCSAAACCCTTTTCAGGGGACAAGAGGGGAGAAGACCTCGACACTTGGTTGAGGGCGGTGCCGGTCTATGTCCGGTGCAAACTTACCTTACCACACGAAGAAGTGTTTGTGGCTGCCTCCTACCTAGAAGGTAGTGCAACAAGATGGTTGAGCGGTTTAGTGCAGCTTCAAGGATTCGGTCATGACTTCCGCTCTTGGGCAGCCTCCCAGAAACTGGAAGACTTCCTAAAGATGGTGGAAGAAAGGTGGCATGATCCTCAGGAGGCTCAAAGAGCCACTGATGCGATCCTGACWSTGCATACAAGGCAGTTCAARTCAGTAAGGGAGTCCACCGACGCTGTAGAGCGTTTGATCTGTGTTCCAGGGGTACGCTATGACCCGCAGGTCCTGTTGACTTCGTACCTGAGGACTCTATCTCTTCCTCTCAGGAACCAGTTAGCAAAAGAGGCCAACATCAACCTACACAACTTTCCTTCGTTCAGCAAGTTAGCCCTAGACTTGGAAGCAAAGATAGGGCATGGACATAACTCAGTGACAGATGGGAAGAAGAAGACACTGCCTCCCAACTGGAA